TTTACGATTGTTTTATTAATTAATATTAACAAATGGAAACAGGCCAAAAACTTTAACATTTTTAAAACAGATGCAGACAAAAGTCAGGATTCTCCCCCTCCATGTAGAATGTTCTGGAGTTGATTTAGAATAACTGAGTGGACCGCCACTGTGGTGACCTTGGATCAACCGACAAGGTGAAAGTTTAATTAGTTTAATTGGAAGACGTTCAGGTTGAATTGAGAGTTAACGATGATGAGGAGGAGACGTTTGGTTCTGAATGAGGAGGAAAAACCAGAGAGAAGACAGACATCAACGTCAGATCACGACCACAGAGAGACACACTCCAAACTTCACAGACATTATTCCGACTCTCCAGCCATAATGTGGAAACAGATGGAGTTAATTTTGTGGAATTGCTAGAATCACTCTGTTGATACATCTGATTACAGCAAATTACGCTGCTGTAGATCCTAAATTAGCTGCGAGTTTCCCGTCCTGAATATTCATGCATGGCTGAGCGGCTCACACTGAGGAGCGTTTGACCGCAGACACTGGGAACGAATATGAATTTTCCACTGTGACAAAGAAGTGCTGGGTGAGTGGGTTAGGCTTTGTGTTTATGGTCAGGATTCAAACCTACAAAATAAAAATCCTAGTTTGCCAATATATTACAAAAAAAATCACACCGTCAGATTCTGATTTTTTTTTTGTTTACAAATAATTGTCCTTTTATTACAATAGTTGTTCTATTGACCATTTCTTGTCAAAATAGGTTGGAAATTTAACCATATTTTTTATTAGTGAATAATAATAATAATTTCACATTATCTAAAAAATACAGAGTAAAAGCCACTGTGTGTTTAGTACTCGAACAAATATAAATAATAATAATAATAATATAACACCTCAATTGAATATACTAAATACATACTATATACATATATATATATATATTTAACTGCTTGGCAACAATAGTTTGCTTTGGGCTCAAAATTTTTCATTTTCCTTTTAAGAAATTCAACAGTCAGTATGTTAAAAATCACATTCTATGCAGTACAGGTTCAGACCATCGGGGCGGCGTTCTCTTCTCTGCTGACTCTGATTCTCTGAGGTAACGCTGCAGCTGTAGATGCAGGAGAATCATCAAGTAGGTTCAGTGGCAGGTATGCAGTCCCTGAAGTGCTCCGTCTGGAGGAGGCCGTGGTGATGGTCTGGCATCTGGAGCACCAGGCCAGGATTACGCTCAAAATATCTACAGCCCAGCGTGTAATCATTATGCGAACTGCTTCACAACAGGGGAGGGTTTCAGTAATCGTCGCACGCAAAGAGCGATAATAAAAATAATAATTATACACATATCACCTGGGATGTACACGGAGGCTGGAGAAGGAGTAAACAGACACCAGGGGGCGTTTAAACGCTGTGTGTTCACGACCAGTTTCTGACATCTCGACTTTCTGGCAGCATTTCAGTGGCTGTCACCTGTGCAGTCACATGATCACAGTCACATGATCACAGCCGTCAATCAAGGTCCTCCACCTCAGATATTTTTATATGCTGCCTTTCATTTGAACTTGATTTATATAAATGAAAGTGTTAATGAAAATACAGTGGTTTAATGTTGGGTGTTTGGCCATAATTAATTTCACACGTTCTTTTCTCTCCTTCATTCATGTCGGCTGTTGTAGCAAAGTCTTTGTTGAACTTGAAGTTGAGTCCAGTATTTTCCTGTCTGGCCTTTATCACCAAGACCGATGCTGGGCGTCAAACCCAGACCCTCACTAAAAACCTACGACACGGTGCATCATTTAAACTCAACATTTCTCACTGTAAGACTCAGCCTTTTCTTCCTGCCTTAAAAAGCCAGAGTCAGTATTTAAGTCACCGAGTTTCTGAAGTAAAATAAGAGATTTATTTGGAGTCAGCAGAGAGGACTTCCTGGATGAAGTTTTTCTGTTTCCTCTCCAGCTGTGAGCCACTGCGTGACCCAGCCAGTCGAGGAGCTTTGAGGGAAAAGCTAATGTTTTCCTTGGGTTTGATTGGCTTAGAGCACGGATTTGGTGGAAGGAAAGTCTGTCGGTGCAGAATCTTTTAAAAGATGGAATATGAAGTGTGCGTCACGTGGTTCTCTTTAGAACTCTGCTGTATTTTCTCCTCCGACGTCTTTGATTTTGTGGTGATTTCACTGTATGGGATTCGTCCACTTCGTGTTTCTGACGTACAGAATCAAAAAAAATCAATAAACACAATTTAGCAAATATTTAGATATTTTAAATGGACGAGATTTAGATGGTTTGGACATGTGCAGAGGAGGGACAGTGGATACATTGGTAGAAGAATGTTAGAGATGGAGCTACCAGGTAGGAGAAAGAGAGGAAGGCCAAAGAGGAGATATATGGATGCAGTGAGGGACAAATCAATCATTTGCTGTAGATTTGCCTGAAAAAGGGACAAAGCCGACAGAAAAAGAAGAAATGAAAAACAAAAATTAAGAAAAAAATATTGTAATAATTATATTTAATTTATAATTAAATACAGATCCAGGTGCATTCTTCATGAATCAACAAGAACTGATT